CATTAGCATCTCAGCTATAAAGACACGCAAAGTATTTCCCAATGGCTTTTCCCTCCTTTTGTTTATTATTTGATTAAGCTGAAAGCTTTTTTACCTTGCGTATTAAACATACGGCCCCAAAACACCACAGTTCTGCCCAACTGCCTGTGTGTTAGCGCAAACAATTGCTGTTTCCCTCTGCAGAATGATTTTGTTTAGGAATCAGCTTGTCATCTCATGTTTTATCTCCTTGATGTATAAATGGAAGAAAGATATCTAGCTGAAAAGGAGCTCCATCTGCCAAACAAGGGAGGCAGGTCGGGTTGCTGGCATCAGATAACCAACCCATCTCAGTAAGTATGACCAAAGAGAGAGAGGCAAAAACCAGCATGTTCTTCATTATTTCCTCCTGTCAAAAAATAATAATAATTAATAATATCCACTGATGAAATTTAGCTATAGAATAAATTGGTATTCGTTTAACAGCCCAATAAAGAGTGAGGGAGTCAGCAGCCTTGCATTAGTTCAGCATCAGTGGGCTTTGGATCAGGTGCTCCATGCCCTCTGGTGTTGAGCTTCAAGCTAAACATGGGCTGCTTGCTCTGGGGCACCGAGCAGATCAAATGATCCTAATGAAGTCTGAGGCTGCCTCCAAACCAATGAATGTGATGTGCAAGCAGCTTTCAGGATAATTCTTCCATTCCCGGGACCCTGCAAGATCTGTAAGAATATGAAACTTGCCATGTTAGCTCCTCCTTTGGCAGTTATTTTTTTTTTTTGCAATCCATCTTTTTTTATTCTGCTTTGGTTGTGTTCTCCATGTAGTTATGGTGGAGAGTTGAGGACTTGCATATAAGTGTTCCTGCAGTTAGCTGAGGATGCAGCTGCCATTTTTAAGGAGCTACAAATATCAGAAATTATTGGGAATCACCCAAAACGATCATTCTCTAGAGAGCTCAAGTATCTTGCATCGTGGCTGTGAATGGAGTTACATCCAGCCAGCAGGCAGGCATGACTGGTGTTCCCCAGGGGTCAGCACTGGGGGCTCATCCTGTTTAATATCTGTGTTGTATCTGCATGAGGGGACTGAGTGCACCCTCTGTAAATGTGCAGATGGCACCGAGCTGGGGGGCAGTGTCAATCTGCCTGTAGGAAGGCCAGCAGAGGGGTGTGAATGGGCTCATCGCTGGGCTGAGGCCAATGGGACAAAGTTCAACAAGACCAAGTTTATTTCTGGCATTAAACAAATTGTGACGTTGTAATACTGCAACGTGAAACATCGAGAGGGGGAAAAAAATACAAAAAAAAAAAAAAAACAAGAAAGCTGCTGGTGGGGGGATTAAATTTGTCAGAAGTCATTAGGAGCTCTCCTGGTACGTGGGGCTGAATGCAGACGTGTGTGTTTGCATTTTCACACAGATCCAAGAGAGAGAGCTGACAGAGCGCAGAGCGATCGGGTTTGTTTCCAATTTTCCACCAGACTGTAATGAAATGCCACAATGCATCCAAGCAAAATTCTCATTAGTCTCCCTATTAGTTTTCACTCCAGTAAATAAATGGCAGTCAACAGTGGGCAATGAGGGTCTCTTTCATGGCTGTCACTTTGCTCTTTGTAAAAAAAAAAGGACGGTGCACAGAGGAAAAAAAGAGAAAAGTACCCCCATTTTACTCCACTAACTCTTTTTCTTTAGTCCTTGATTTTGTGGTGCTTAGTTTTTATGGCTGACAGGCCCAGAGGCATGCTCTGTTGGTAGGGCTCCAATGGGTGCCACCAGGAATCTCTTCCTGGGGCCAGCCCTGACAGCAAGGAGCCACAGCATGCCCTGCTGGAAGGTCTGTGGTGGGCTGGAGGCTGGGGAAAGGAGGAGAACATTGGGAAAACACGGCCGTGTCCCCTGTGGGAAATACGAGGCTGTGTTGCCATGTGTGAGGGCTTTGGTTGTTGCTCTTTGTTCGGAGCTTCTCTGCTGTATTTTTGAGCAAATTGCACATTTGTTTCCACTTTATTTTACATCTAATTAATGTTTTTCATGACCTAACACCTGGAAACGAGCTTTCTGGGTATGCCTCTGTTTTGCTGTGGCACAGAAGCCTACATTGGCTGAATACTCCGATCTCCTATTAGCAGATCCTTGCAGATACTGGGATTTCCTCTGTTACTTCCCCCTGGTTTTTCCTTAATCTCCTGTTTCCCCTTTTTTTATTTCTCCTCATGGTCCTTGTCTTTGAAGTAGTACCACTTCTTCCATCCAACCCATCTTTCGTGCCCACCTGCCCCACATAGAGGGCACAGGGCTGCCCAGTATGCCCTGTTCTTTATGAAATGCTGTGATCTAGTGGTGTGTCCCTGCTTTCGCTGCTGGGAAAGTCATTTCTAAGCAGTAGAGACCAGCAGCACTTTAACTTCCTTTGTAGCTTTGGAAAATATGATCTTTCTGATATCACAGAGCACCCCATTTAGGCTGCTCATTCAGTCTTCTGGCTCTGAATAGCTGGTTAACATTATTAAATGTTGTTAATTATGTCACTAATTGCATGTGAAATCAAAGACTGTTCGGGCATGCAGGAACCTAAGCCTTAGGTTTTAATACGGCTACAAAATACCGATAGCTCAGAATATGTCTCCAAGCTGTTGTCCTGGCATCTTTTACCAAATAAGATGAGTGCAATTAAACTTGCATAGTGTTTGGAAATAGTGCACTGTCAGTCTTGTTCCTGTTGCACAAAGTTTAGTGCCCTCATTGCTGATCCTGAATTTTTTCTCGCTGTGGCTTCTCCTTTTTCAGAGCATCATTTTCCTTGGGGGAAAAGACAAACTCATGAGTGTCTGCTATGAACAGTAATAAGTAGGTACATGTTTTAGGGGATTTACTGCTCTGAGACACAGATGCAAAGTAGTTTAGCCTTGCTTCTAGAGTAGGTGATGATAGACATGAAATGTGAAGGCAGTAGAATCACAGAGTCACTAGGGTTGGAGCAGACCTCTTAGAACCCCAACCCCAATATGACCCATGCCCACTGCCCATGTCCCTCAGTGCCACTTCCCCACGGCTCTGGGATACCCCCAAGAACAGTGATTTCCCCCACTCCCTGGGCAGCTGTGCCACTGCCTGACTGCTTTCTGGAGAAGAAATGCTTCCTAAAACCAATCTGACCCTCCCATGGAGTAGGAGAAGAGTCCTGGCTTAGTTCCTTTCCAACATTTAAGGGAAAGTGAGGGACCTGATGCAGCAGTGCTAAGATGCATGCTGCTGTACATGTGAGCTCTTTGCAGCCTGAAAAACAGCTTTCGTGTTCACCATCTGTGAGCAGGACACTCAGAAACCATCACAAGCGAGCAATGAATAAACTGCATTGAAAGGCTGTACTGATGGCCCTGTTAAGCAGCACTGTGTTCTCATGTCTGGAAATGAGAACGTGTCTGAAGATCTATGAAAATGGAGATCTATTTTTACATAGTGCACAAAGACAGCGTCACAGCATCTGTGGCCCTGAAAAAAAAACACCCAAACCATTTCTGAAGGAACGGTTCACAATTCATACACCCTGCAGACAGACACAGGATCTGTGACCAACAGAACCAATGTTGCTGACCACTTCTGTCTGTGATTGTTAACTCATTCATATAGGCTTCCAAATTAAGGAATTAATAAGAACTACTAATAGCCAGCCTTTGATTCTTTCGGATTAACCAGAACTCGGTGTGACAAAGTGCAGCATCCACTTGGAGGCTGTGGTTAATGGCTGCTGGTAGCCTTTCCATGCCCGTATCAGTGCTGTGGGATGGCACTGGATGCTTTGCCTCCATGGCGGAACCTCAAAATGAGTTCCCAGCCTTTTCGGCTCAACACCGATCACTTCTTTAATCCTCGAAGTTATATGTTACTCTTAAAATGCTTTACAATTTATTTTGTAACTTGTGTGGTTTTACTTTAAACGTGACTTTATAAACAAAATTTCTGGGCTACTTGAAATTCCCATCTTATACCTGGATGTACTGTTGAGTATGGGCACCTTCTGCTGATGGATGAGTGAATTGCAGTAAATAGATTCATTTAAAACTCAGGGATTTTGCCCTCTCCCTGGAGAAGGGTGAAGCTCTGATCCCCTCTGTGCCAGTTACAGCTTTGTAGCCCCGCACTGTTGTGGCTCTTTCCGGCTTTTCCCTTTCACTGCTGTGCCATAGCATTGCTGCTCCTTCTGTCCTCTGTGCACTGACCCTATTGGGGTGGTCACTAACACTGCGTGCTCTGGCCAGTTGAGTCTGTTCTTATTAACAACATTTGGAAATAGATACAAAAATAGTTATTAAGTCCTACTGATCAGATTAGGCTTTTTCATTCTAAAAGACCTGAATCAAGAACCTGATCCTAGGGTGGTTGGCCCTCTGATAGAGGCACTTAACATCTTCCCCCTTCCCAACCTTCTGTTCTCATTAGCTGAGAGATTTATCTCTGTGTGTTGGGGTGAGGCTGCCATCACAGATAGGGCCATGGTTAGCACCCAATGCCCGAGGTGCCCCAGCCGGTTCTACAGCCACTTAATGAAACATGTGGGTAATCCCCGGGTGCTCCTCCCCAGGCACTGCACTGCCCTATGTACACTATTCTTCCTGCAAAGCCACAGAATTTATAAAACCAATGTTTGTACCACAGTAACCCTAAGAGAAAGACTTGTCCTCCATTTCCAAGGTAAGCAATCAGCATCTCCTCTAAATCCATGGGTCTGACTTGGCAGCCTCACTGGTGAGTGAACAAAAATCGTGCCAACAAAGCAACGCGTGGGGAAATGGAATCCCAGAGAGGAGCGCACGCGTGGTGGTGCTCGAAACACAGAGGACAGAAACACCCGTGGCCTGGTCCATGGGCTGCTCGGGAGAGTGCACTCTGCAGGTTGTGTTCCCATGACATGCAGGGAGGAAATGGGAGCAGGAAATACCGGTGTGTGCAGGGCTGGGGATGGGGACGGGCTGCGCTGCTCCATGCCTAACTTAGTGCCGGTGCTTCGGGGGGAAGAGTCTGCTGTCTGTTTTGAATGCTTTCTGCATGACTAATTAATGTTCTGAAATAAATGGTGCTGTTAAACTCTATGCTGGTACAGGCAGCCGGCAGCCGTGGCTCCTGTCCAATACTTTATCTAATCTTTGCTTTGTCAAGGACGGGGCACTGCTTGTCATCTAAAAGCCACTTAACTGCACTACAGCGTGATGTCATGCTCCTCTACATGCGTGTCGATATTTATGCTCAGTCTGTTGGGAAACAGCCCTGAATACAGCGAGCTGTACGTAATTACATTCTTTGCATGATAACAAAACCCACTTGAAACTGGCAAGAGATGAAACCCCGCAGCGTGGCGTTCGGAATTCTGCAGGAGCAGAGCGTTCTGTAACATTATGCCGGGATAAGGCAGCCTGATTCACCGCGGGGAGGACACTCCCTCCGGAGCAAAGCATTTGCTGTCGTCCCTCCGGAGCGGCGGCACCAGCACTGGAGCTGCTGAGGTGAGTACAATGGGGCCTGCTCCCTTTGCCTACTGGGACCCCCCCACACCCCGTATAGCAACCTGTGCATGCTCAGGGTATCACCTATCTACACTGGGCTTCCAGTGGAACGTGCTTTGAATTTACACTTTGCCATACGTAGGTTTCCTTCCTAAGACAGGGAAGACTTTTGTGAGAGAGTAGAATATTAAAATAGTCATCAGTCGGGTTATATATCGTAGAGTCATAGAATGGTTGGACTGGAAGGGACCTTAAAGATCATAGAGCCATAGAATTTTTCAGTTGGAAAGGACTTTAAAGATCATAGAATGATTGGGTTGGAAGGGACCTTAAAGATCACCCATTTCCAGCCCCCTGCCACGGGCAAGGTTGCCACCCACTAAATCAGGCAATAGATGTGCATACATATACATACCATGCATATGTATATAAATGTGCCTGAACTAACTTAGCATCTCATTCATAACAAAGCATAAAAGAAACCCCAAGCTCAGCATAGGCTGAGCCCTACTGAGATCTCCGCTTCCCTCCGCAGCCAGGGTAGAGCCGGCAGCAGCACGGGACGGAGGGGGCTAAGCTCCCAACGCAGGACCAGTAGCAGAGCAAGCAGCAGGAGGATGAGGATGCTGCCAGGTGCCCACCACGCTGAGAGCACAACGGGAGCCCCCTGAACCACAGGGCATGGCGCAGAGGTACTGCTCCTGTTGTGTGTGATATCTGCTTTTCCTTATTTTGCATTAGAGTGGAACAGTGAATGTTTTGTGCCGGTTGGATGAGCAAATAGTTACAGCAATGTGCATTCCGTGCCCGGCTCGTGCTGCTCTGCACGGCTCATTTGGATTTGGCCGGGTGACAAAGGGTGGGTGTGATTCCCCAGTGTCCATGAAAATGTGGCTCTTCACAAACTGATTTCAAAGTAAAAGCAAATGCAGTAGTTGTACAGAACTCTGCAGAGGAGAAATGCGTTGTAAAACAGCTTCCGCTCAGCAATATTATTGAAAAACATCTACAAACAGACTCCTATTGCTTTGGAAAAAAATACATTTCTTAGGAAAATAAATGTTTACAATTGTAGCTGATGCATGCCCTCTTTTCTGCCAAAAAAAGCTTCAGTTGGAGGCAGTGTTGACTTTTTATTCGTGATGGTTTTGTTTTGTGGCGAGTGGAGTGGGAAGCACTAAACCACATCGCTTACCAACATAAGAGGCTCACTATGTAGCTCTGTCTTACAGCCACCTGATTTCTTTTATATCTTGAAAACTCTTCCTTATCGATAGATGTGCGTGGGCATGAAAACTGGCACAAATCATGGCACTACCTGAAGAGGTACCCACTGTGTTTAATGCAATGTGTTATTGAGCGCGTGTCTGCTGAAGGGCAGCACTTGCTGCCCTGGCGGTGCTGGGGGCTGTGGTTACTCGTTTCTGTCCGTGGGTCGGATGGCTGTCACAGACTGTGAACTTCCATGGCTGGAACAGAAGTCCAAACAATGGAGGTCTTGGTGTGAGTGGGACCCGTGGGGTTTCTGCGTTATTGCTGCAGAAATCCCCCTTTGCACAAACACGGCCATACAGGTCGCGCTGGGATGCTCTCCACTGCCAGGCAGGGAACCCAACCCCTCCAGTTTCCATTGGGTTTTTAGGCCAGAGCTGACATAATAAAAAGACTGAAAAGTTGACCTGGTTGGATTACAGAAGGATACTTGTTTGCTGCGAATCTAAAACTTTATTTATGCGTCAGTGATCCGCTCGTTTAATGATCTGGCATTCAGGTGTTTGATCTGGAGCCTGATTTCCCTGGACTCTCTGGTGTAAAAAGCAGAAGTTACAGAGTAGTTCAGAAATACATTCTTTTGTTTATTTTCTATTTATCATGAATAGGATTGGGGTTTTCCCAAGTGCAAACCCAAGTTGGCCCAGGAGTCCCACCACTGTTTGATCCCGGCTTGGTCAGTGCTTACGGCGCTGATTCAGTTGCTGTGTTTTCCTGAAGATGTTGTTGTACAAACCTGATGGCAGTAAGCTGTAATGCACCCCCAGCCCTTTCGGGCCCCACGGCAGGGGACAGGTCGATGTGTTGGAGGAGGCAGACAGCCCGTGGTTCGGCGATGCCGAGCCTGGTAAAACTCAGCGAGACCTCGTTAGTTAAAATGAGCTCATTTTCCTTGAAACCAAATGCTTATTTTAATTCTAGGGTGGCTGGGTAAAATGCTGCGTATCTTGATTGCTGATAGGCATCTTCCTTTTGTAAGAAGTCATTTACTGAGTGAGAATAGTGCAAAGTAGGTGGTATGGTAGAATTGCTGCTACTTCTTTTGGCACTACAGATAGATTTCTCCATTAGACAATCCCTTCTTGTGATATAATTAGAGAAGAATGCGTGAGCACAGATCTATTCCATATTTATTTCATCATTTTCTTTATTCTGGATACCACGGTTTCTTTGGGAGGATAAGTTAGTTTGAAAAACAAGAGTGCCCACTTGTTGGAAAGCCTTATAAAAGCTGAATATTCTTCACCTTTTTGCTGAACGTTAGAAGAGCCGCATTGAACCCGTTTTTCTGCATATGCCTATTTCTCTCCCATTGAATTCTCCCATGCTCTTTGTTGTGTGGGGTGACCTACTCACAGGACAGTGTGGCTCTGATCCCTCGGCCGCCATATGCTCCAGCAATAAGCTGTGTTTTCCATGGAGAGCTCCTCCTGGAAGTTAAATACTAAGGTGTACCTGGGATGCAGGCAGTATGCGTTGTGCATTTTGAGGTGGGGGCTCACCTCAATATGCTTTTTATATCCTGAAGACAGTTTCTCCTAGATATAAAAGGAAGAGATGGGAGGAATAGAGTAAAAGATAAGTAAAAATGTCTCTGTCTTCTTTTCCTTCTTTATGTGCTGATGTGTACCTGAATATAATCGATTATATTTAGATTCTGGGGAGTTTATTTGGCCCGTCGTTTCTTTCCTGTACAACTGCCTTTCTTTAGCAGAACTACATAAATTTCTGTCATCAAACTGTCAGCGGTTCCTTTACATCAGTCAGCCCACTGCCTTTGTGTGTCCCAACTTCCAACTCATTATCTGTTGCACAGACAAACGATGGCACATGGGTGGCTGCCTGCCTGTCAGCTGGCTCTGCATACAGCGAAGGTATTTGGCTGGCAAAACCAGAGAGTAAATGTTTTGGAGCCAGGCAGTTTACAGAATTACTTGGGTTTGCGCTGACAGATGTTTCCGTTCTAAGGGATTTGCTGTGCAAGAATTTAATGAACCAAATTATTGGGACTTAGAAATGGGTTTATAGTGCAGCGAGGATCTTGATTCTGGAAGGCTGGAGGTGATCTGACCCTGCTGTTTTGCTGGTGTTTTACATCTAGGAATGCTGAAGGCTGCATGCATGTGAGCTCACTTAAGTGGGAGCTTATTAGGTATGGCCACCGAGTGCCCAAGGACATTATAAAAATTCCTATAAACTAAACTTGCATGCCTGAGTTTGATCATTAGCCTATGATTTACTGAAGGGACTTACTCTAAGTGCCGCTGTGCCAATGTTTGATTTTCTTTCCTCCTCATTAGTCAGTAGGAAACAGTGCTTGCATAGCTGCTGGAGCCAGTGCCTTTCTGTTGGGCTGCTGCAGGGAGATGCCTGCAGAGCTCATCTCAGAGCTACGTGGCCTGCAGGGCTGCAGGGTGTGTGTTCTGTGTGCATAACGTGTGTGCAGCGATGCTCCGGGAGCTGTGAGGGGGTTTTGTGCAGCCATCTGGAAGTACACTTGGTGGAAGGAGGAAGGAAATCAACCCAAAATGAGAAGTGCTGCATATCTTGGTGCTTGCCAGTTCCAAGCTTTCCCATGCACGTCTTCACCTCCTTATGGCTTCGTGTTGGCATCGTGATTTTTGAAGCAAACAACGTAGATTCAGCTGGGTTACTCATCAGATACTACTTTTGAACAATGGCATTTGTGTTCTTTTTGAGCTAATTTGGGCAACTGTGTGGAGAGCCTGTAAATAGCCCTGATGCGACTGGAAACAATATCCATTGTCTCTAAAATAATGGCAGTTCTTTGTAGAAATTCAGCATCTTAAGATGTGGGTGTGCACATCTGCTGCTGCAGTCTCACAGCTTCCTGGGCTCCCAACAGTTGGGTTGTGAGGAACAGCAGCTCAGTTTTGGTGCCCCTGACTATCTGGAGCCTTTCTGACCGGCACTGCATGGGCTTTGTTCTGGATGCAACAAGTGGAAACTGCCTGCTCCTGCGATGGCTGAGCTGCGCTGGTGAGTGCTCAGGGTGAAACACACCATCTTTGGGTTTGTGTCGGAAGACTTCCCTGCCTCACAGCGGTGCTCACTCTGAACTGATCAGCTTTGCTGTGTTTAGGCAGGATATTGGCCCGACAGCTTTGGTTTAGGCTGGAGCTGTGCGTGGTTGCAGTGTGAGCACTGCTGGGTTTTCATGTCCAGTTTGAGCAGTATGTTATCGTGGTGTTTCATGCATGGAGATATTTCATAGAATCAGAGAATGGCTTGGGTTGGAAGGGACCTCAGGAATATCAAGCTCCAACCTTTCTGCTGCAGGCAGGGCCTCCAACATCCTGTCTAATGCTAGAGCATATTTAAAGGAATTTAAGTTATTTTTACATACTTAATTTATACCCCACCTATCCAGTGCTTTGTTTTTGTGGAGACCGATGAGAAAAAAAAATGTGAGAAGCTTTCTCAAACTTCTCTGGCCTTAATATTCAGCCAAAGAATGTTCTTTCCCTGGGGTTCCTGTGTTAATAGATTTGTATGTTAATAGAGCCTAAAGCCCACCACGCAGGGGGCTGGATTTGGTGGAAATCCCCACTGGTCTTAGAGTGCTCTTCCCAGACAAACATCTGGGGCTCAGCCGTGGAGGAGGCAGCTGGCAGGCTGCAGATAGAAGCAGAGCATATCTCTGCAGGTGCCCTCGTGCTCCCGGGTCACTGGGCCATTCCTGCAGTGAGGTGAGCGTGGTGCCGGGACACGGGGATCTGGGCTCACCCTGCGGGGCTGCTGGCCAAGTGGGAGCAGGAATTTCAGAGAAGGAGCATCCGAGGGACTCACCTGCAGGAAGCATTTTCTGGGAGGTGAGAACCCCTCTGATCCCCATGCCTGGGAGATGACCGAGTGCCCTCGTCCTCCTCCTCTTACTTCCTAAGCTGGACATACGTGAGTTTCATAGAATCCTTGGAGTTGGAAGGGACTTTTACAGGTCATCTAGTCTGACTGCCCTGCAATGAACACGGAAATCCACAGCTAGATCAGGTTGCTCAGAGCCTGATCCTGGTTTCTCATTTGGCTTTTAAGGACTGAAAAGCCTTGGAAGTTGTTTAGTAGCATTAGGCAAGCTTGCTATGCAAGCTTAGAAATTTTCAACCACAGTTGTAGCTTGTTTGTTCCAAACAACGTAGCTCTTTACCAGCTGATGTGGTGCAGAGGTGTGGGTCTTTAAAATATCCTAAAAATTCTTGCTGTCATTTTATTAATCTTACTTTTCCCCAGATCGAATGAGGTTTTATCAAGCTATCTCTGCGTACACCCCTAATTGATTTTTGGTGGTACTACTTAATTGGTCTACCTTCAGTTGAGGCAGCCAGGAGCACTGCTGAACCAACAGATCTTTACCCATTTTAAGAAGGGAGAAGTTCATACACTCTGAAACACTTGAGCTGGG